GGCTTCCCTCAGTGAACATCAGAGGACTTTGTTATAGCTTTCTGCTCTCTACTGGCTAGAAGACTTATTCTTCTGCTAGAAGACATATTCTTCTTCGATGGAAGGATCCACATCCTCCAGTATATGGTCATTGGTTAAGAGAAGTTATGTCTTACATTCATTTAGAGAAGATTAGATATACTGTTAGGGGATCTGTAAACAAATTCTTTGACATTTGGCAGCCATTTTTATCTTATGTAGAAAAAATTTCAGCAGATAACTTTGTGTAAAGTTTAAGTATTGTTTCATTGTACACAAACCTTTTTATTGCATCACTTGTATAAATACAAGATCGATTTTTGTTGTTCAGTAGATCCGGTATAGGGAGGGGTGGGATTTTGGGTGTTTGTATTTTTGTTAGTTTGTTGTTTGTTTTTTGTTGTGCATTATGTTAAAAATAATTAAAAAATACTTTGATCAAAAAAAATAAAAGAACTAAAAAGACCATAAAGGATCTACTAAGTTTTGCTTAGTTAAGTATTCAATAGCTGTGTGTATTGTGTTTGTTTACAGATGGACTCCTGAAGATGTTTCTTTTATTTCATGATTTTAAACAGTGTGTCTTTTCTTCCATGATTTAATCCTTAGAAACTTTGGACTTGAGTTTTTAATTAAAAGTGTGACACTCTTATTTTACTGAGGCAAGCAGATGTCTCTCCCTTTAATTAGATGCGAGATAATCAAACTAAAACCCTCCTTTTTTGTTTTCAAAGTAAACCTTTACCTCCAACAGACTCGCTGAGATCTTTTCCTGTATAAGGTGTAACATTTTTATTGTCCAGCTAAACCTTGACTCCGCCCATAACAGAGGTTTTAAAAGTTAGTGCAGCTCCTGAGACCAACAGAGTTTTTGAGAGTTTTTCAACATCAGAAGCCAGAAACAGTTTTCCAGAAGCTGAGCAGAGGCCCTGCCTGCCAGCCCCTCCCCATGGGCTGGGCAGGATGGTGGTCCTTCTGCATCTCCCGCTGGTTGAACGAACAGCCAACGTTTAATATCGACTCAACATCTGAGTTTGATTTTATAGCAGTTAAATAAGCTAATTGTAATTCATGCGTCGTTTTTAGTTCGTTTTCTCTACAAAGTTGAAATCAAATTAAGAAGTCTTGCAGCTGCCTGGGGAGGACAGGACCACATTGTCACCAGGGAGTGACCCCCTTCTCTGACCACGGGACCAGTCGAGTTTTACAGGCAGACCGCCTGACATCCAGCTTGTATGAAGAGTCTACCTGGGAGACGACCCCCAGAGATGACCTTCAATCGCTGACTTCCCTCCTGGTACCCACACGGCGGAGTAAAAGGGTAAAAGTGAACATTTGTCCTGGTGACAAACAGGTGCTCAGATGTAATTTGATTCTTATCTTTGTATGAGAGTTGGTAAACTAAACGATTTTTCTCCCTAATTTAACTAGAACCCCCTTAGTTAAATCCTCAGCTAAAAGCAAAACTCACCTCACCTCACTCCAAACTTCAAACTCACCTCTCAGTGTTTATTTTATTTGTTTGTTTGTTTATTCACTTGTGATTGCAAACTCAGTCAGTTTTTACATGGTTCAATCATGTCATCATTCCTTACTCGCCATTGTTGTGAATACATTTAATCTGTAAATAAATGACCCGTGGAGAATGTGCCAACATAAGCTAATGTCACTTTTGTGTCGATAAAGTATTATTGGTTCTGATAAGACAAGAACTCATCAAACGATTTTGGGTACATTTGTTGTGAGACTGATTACAATAAAGTTACAGGTTTTCGTCTCTGCTGGGTTAATCCTTGACCAAATTAAGAGCGTGGTGCCTCGAGGTAACATAATTTGTGTATTTAAATAATTCACAAATTATCCATTTTAGAATATACCCAAAACCCCTACATAATGGTAAGAAAGGATATTGGAGATTTAATTCTAGCTTATTAAAAAATAAGGAATTTGAAAGTAGAATGATTTCTCTGATCTCTGAGGTAATGTCTGAGATGTCTCTATCTTCTCACGCTAACAGGTGGGAATTCTTACAATTTAAAATACGTGAATTTTCTATTTCTYTTGGTAAAAATTTAAGTAAGAAAAGCAGATATTATCTATCTATAATATAGCTAATTCTAGCTATATCTAATTCGTTAGAATTAGATATAGCGGTCAATAATTTATCTTTAAACAAATCTCCTGGTTGTGATGGTCTTAMATCCAATTTTTATAAACATTTCTGGAATCATCTAAGAGAACCCTTCTTGAATATGATTAATGAAGTAACCACCAATTTAGCTTGTCCACCAACTATGAAACAAGGCGTAATAATTTTAATCCCTAAACCTGGCAAAGACCAAAGAATTCTTGATAATCTCAGACCAGTCACTTTACTGCACTGACTATAAAATTCTTACTCTAATTTATGCTAACAGGCTGAAAACAAACATGTATAAAATTATTAGTGAATCTCAGTCTGGTTTCATGCAGAAGAGATCCATTCATAACAATATTCGCTTAGTACTTGATCTCTTAGATTATAATCGTATGATAAAAGATGACGGCTTCATTTTATTTCTTGACTTTTATAAAGCTTTTGATTCCATTGAACATCCGTTTATTTTTAACTGGATTTATTAGGTTTTGGCTCTAAATTTAGACACATTATTGAATCTCTTTATAAAGACACAAACAGCTCTGTCTCCTTACCAGGTGGTACCTCACCTCGTTTTCCTAGAGAACGTGGAGTGAAACAAGGATGCCCTATTTCTCCTTTTCTTTTTATTATTGCGGTTGAAATGCTTTCAGTTTTTATGAAAAATTCTAATATTGCTCCTTTAGATGCACTTGGCATACCTCTGCTTATCAGCCAGCTGGCTGACGATGCCACCAGCTTTATGAAGCACTTAACAGAAGTCCCAAAGATACTGAAAAATATTCAAATATTTTCTATTGCCTCAGGATTGAAGCTCAATTTAAACARATGTGAGTTGATGCCTATTCACCAAGCACCACCTCATCTAAACGAAGCTTACAGCATACAGTATATACCCATAAAATCCACTGTGAAATATTTAGGTATCACTATATCAAAAAATTATGCTGACAGAGAAAATGAAAATATTTGGAAAGTAATAGATAATTGCCAATCTAAGCTCCTTTGGCTGCTGCGTGATGTTAGTTTATTGGGTAGAATATTTTTGACTAAAATGGAGAGTATTTCAAGATGCATCTATCCAGCATACTCATTAGCAATCTCTAATAGAGCCATCAAAAAAATTAATCAGGTTAATTTTAACTACATATGGAGGAAAAAACACATTATATTAAAAAACTGTGTTAACCAAAAATAATGAGGATGGGGGACTAGAAACCATTGATTTTGAATACATGAACGGAACTTTGAAAATTAACTGGTTGAAATCATTTCTTAACACTAATAACCTCTGGTTTCATATCCCCAGACAAATCTTTAAGATGCTAGGAGGTATTGAGTTCTTACTAAAATGTGATTACCTAATTCAAAAGTTCCCCTTAAAGATGTCTTTTTCATCAACAGGTCCTCTTATATTTGAAACTCCAATATAACCATAACTTCACTCCTCACAATTCTCCCATTTGGAACAATAGATAAGTTACTGTTAGAAACAAATCTTTTTTTTTGTTTTGTTTTCTTCAAAGTTTTTTTTTTATTATTTTTAGCAAAAACACAAACAAAAAACAAACTAACAAAAAAAAACACACCCCTGCAAACCCTCCCAT